TTTCCAGAAATTTCTTGTTTTTCCATATATTCATCCATTGTTTTTTGTTTCTTACTTTTTTGTTTTTTCTTTTTCTTCTTTTCTGTATTAGGGGAATTACTCGGGTCTTAAAATATTGATGTGTACTTGTATCACCTTCACTATTACTAAGTAGTTGAAGAATGGCCGCGCTTTGTCCTTTGACTCATGACTAAGTCCAATGACCATTATAAACTGCCCAGTAAGTTTATTCAAGCGGTTTAGTGATGCGTGACGAAATTTTTGCCCAGGTGTGATGTACATGTAAATTCTTTTACCTGCGATATCCCACCCATTCATTATGCATATGAAAAAGTCTATAAACGTTTATTTCAAAAAGCAAAATTCAGTTTCCGTTAAAAATATACCATCTTATTGTAGAAATCATCAATTTCTAGAATTCCAAGTCTAGATAAAAGTGGTTTATTGACGAGTTTTATTTTTACATTTTTATTTTGTTTACTTCTTAAAACGGAAGCGGAAGTTTTTTCGTTCAGTTTCTTTGTAATTTATCCAGAATGCCGATATTCCCCGACGCATTGGAACTGCGGCCGTGCATTATTCTACAACAATACTTTCAATTTCTTATTTTTATTTCCTAATTGCATACAAATGATGTTCTTCATCTTTGTTAATTAAATCATTGTGCTTGTTCATCTTTGTTAATTAAATCATTGTGCTTGTGACAGTTGTGTTTTTTTCGCTGTCTCAAATGTAATTGTCATATGTCTTTGTAATCGTTTGTGTTTAAATGATCCCATGTAGTTAAAAAAGATAAGTATGTTGAAATAGTGTGTGGGACCACATCACCAAAACATAATCAATGAACTTTCTGCGTTTAAACCACGTGATATTCCTATAAAAATCATGACTTGATCTAATTATATCATTTTAGCTTCTTTTCCATTTTCAGTATTCAAAACATACATTTAAATGCATATATTATCCTTATTTGCAGAATCCAACATATCTATATCAGATGCATATCGTATTTCATATAGCCGCGTTTTCATTTTCAAAATCAAAAATATCTTTTGTTTATGAAATGCATAATGTACGTGATGGTGTGAAATATACATATATATTGTTGAGAACAGTACTGATTCTATTGAACTCGACCATAGATGCAAAATATGTACCAGACTCGGCTTGTACCTCGTCCAGTATACTAGTAGGTCTGACAGCTGTGAACTCTTCCAACAGAATTCAGTATTGTACTAAATCATATATAACAACCTTTTGTATTGCTTTTGCAAACTAAATGTTTTTTCAGCGAAAGGGAAAAAGGGGGGGCAAAGAAAAAAAAGAACAGGCGAAATTTTTTAAATAAACTTTGACTATTGTAAAAACAAGAATACTTCAAACCAAAATAGATATCGCAAAAATTTTTTGGATAAAATAAAAGGGAAAATGGTTGGGTTAAAACGGGAAAATTTAAGATCAGTAAGTAATTTTTTTAAAAAGATATGCAAATTTTAAAACTAATTATAAACTTTTAAGGGAGTGGAATTGGAAAGGGTTTCGAAACTGGGAAAAAGATAAAAAGTGGGTTTGGGGCACACATTTAAAAAAGTATTTTTTTATAAAGTCAAAAATTAAAAATTTAAACAATTTCATGAAAAAATATTCTGTATAAAAAAATGTTCACCTATTCTTTTTTCTGATTTGCTTAAATGGCATCGAAAAGGGTTTAACGCGGTTTTGCGGGATTTTAAAATTTGTTTTCAAAGCATTGGAACAAAAAAGCAAAAAGGAAAAAAGGGTATTTTCTTCCAAAACGTAAAAAAACCCCGCATTTTTAACTAAAAAGATTTTTCAAAATTTTTCCCCAAAATTTTGCAATTTTTTTTTTTTGTTAAAATTTGTCTATGATAAAAAAAGCAAAAATTGGGGCATATTTTTTATTTATTTTAAAAGCCCAAAAAAATTTTTCCTTTTGCATTAATTAAAAAAAAAAGTATCAAAGTACAATTTTCGCTTTTTTAAAAATCGAAATTTTGGGAAGTTAAAAACTTTTTCTAGAGGAAAATTAATGCATGGGATGATACAAAAAACCTTTTTAAAAGCAACAGGAAATGCATGCAAAAAAGGGGCGAAAACTTCCCCTGAAAAGTCGCCTTTAAAAAACTTCCCAAAAAAAAAAAACTTGATTTAAAAAGGTAATACTGAAAGTCAGTAATTTTTTATCTCATATACAAATTGTGGTCCATAACTAACTATATAGTAAATTTTTGAAGTCAGTTTTTTTAATAGAAAAGCTTAATACTTCGTTAATTTAGTCATTTCTCAAAGAACGAATGTTCATGCATTTAACGGCCAATTGCATTTTTGATAATATAACGTTTGATAATATAATATGAACAACATAGCATGCTTTATTCAGAAAATATACCCTGATCTGGAGTTTATTAAGAATAATGCAGCACGGTAAAATACTCACGAAAGTTGAAGGACTGAGTGAATAATGACAAACATGTGCCAAAAGACCAGTCATATGATGTTAGAAAAAACAACTTCTCTCCTCAATGTATTTTTTTTCATATTTAAATAAATTATCTTTCCTGTTAGGATGTGAAAATGGATCTTTTTGCTTTCCTTTAAATTTCAATAACGCTCAGTTCAAATGCTTCGTGAGGTATATTTCTTCTGACGTTTTTTTCTTTCTTGTATGCCCAAACTTTGATCTTTATTGAGTTGCTGGAGTAAAAGAAATAACTGAGCACCCTATAGCCTGTTCTATATTTTGGTTTACGGCGATTTTTTCATGAGTAAGATTAGATCACAGCAAGGCAATTCCTTCATGTCTTTTTATAATTTCTTTGCCTATAATCCTTTTTTACTAGTTTGGAATTCGAACATCCCACAAACTAGTGGGAGGTCTGTACCAGACATGTAACTATCATGGGAATTTAGTACTAAATTGAACTAATTTAAGAAATTATGGCCTTCACACATAAAGATTTTTTTGTACATCTAAGTTGTCAGTAGGGTGCTTATAAATCCTACCGTCTTGTGAGGTCTTTACTATGATATTTATTTTTGTGGAATAATGCGCTTACGTGATTTTTTCCCATTAAGTTGTAAAGATATCTATACTTGTCACTATATCATTATTCCAAAACTAAATCCACACTATCAACATTTTATTGTTAAGAAATATTTTATAAGAATATTCAAACGTTTCTTTTCTATTGTTTTTATCAATATTTGAAATACTATATCTATTTATAGTGCGTTTATAGTACATGTGTATAAATACCTGTTTTGTTTATACAGTCTAAGAGAATTAGAAAATAAATCACAATACAACAGACAAGTCTTTGGAGATTTATGTACACTTCTAAAAATGGATCTTGAACCACGGCAAAAAGGAGAAAGTAATGGCAATTGGAAGGATATTGTCAAAAATATGAAAAGGTAACTAATTTTAAGTTTGTAATTAAATGGCATACTACTACAATGGTGTTTAAATGTTAAAATTTCTTTGAACACTTCATTCATATGCTTTTGCACCTTTGTTCTTTTATTATACATGTAGTCTGCCCGATTAGATAAAGCAACCCAGAAGGTCGCTGGCTCGATACTTGTGCGAAGCGAATAATCTCCGTATCAATTGATCTCTGACAGTTTGTCTGCTGATCATTTGTTTTTTCGACACTGGTTAAAATCATAAGTGATAAGTAGACGGTCCTTTGCAGAGACATTATTTGACATTGCATCTTTTAAGTAATCAAGAATGGACTGTTTACCGAAAAATTAACTAAACCAGTGTCAAATTCGGCGTTAAAGCCAAATAGAAATATCAATGTAAATTTAATTTTAGATTGGTTAAAGACAGATGCCAATTCGTTGATCGTGCTAGAACATTGCTAAAGGATATATCAACATTAATAACCAGAGAACCATTCAGTCTGACAATGTCGGGACATTCTGACACAAAACTTGTACAAGTACTCACACCTGATTTTCAACAACTTGTGTATGACATGAATAATGTAAAGTTGTGTTTGGAAGATTATCGTAAAAGGTTTGTTGCATTACCTGGTACATTTAGCGCTTAATTTTGAATTAAAAAATAAAGAAATTTAATCAATTAGGAATGAATTCATGAGCAGTCAGTTTGATATTTAAAAGTATAATTAAACACAAGAAATACACAGTTTCCAAATAAATATGAAACTATTTTCAGAACAATATTCGTATTATCATATTTAGTGATTAGCCTATTTCATTAAACACATTTTGCATGGTAACTATAAAATATGAAAACAAACATAGACAAGAAGGGTATGTATCTAATAAACACAGCACAGAACTATGGCTTGATTACATAAATATATAAATAAAAGCGTTTTCGTTGTTTACTGAAATTATTTTTTTTCATACAGTCATTCTAAATTTTTAATATTTTACAGCCATAAAGAGAAATTCGTGAAAATAGAAGCTTGGAATGAGTTGAAGGAATGTGACAATTCATTGCAGAAAGAAATAGAAGAACTGAAAGATCAAAAAGACGAACTTTTAAACAGGTGGGAAGTGGACTGATTTTTTTATCTGTGTACTATTTGTAAATACACACCACTACAGGCCTCCTTGCAGTACAGTGATCAGGAATATATCCCAAGGACAATTATCCCATTGTACTTTACTAGAACATAAAGGGGAAAAAGAAAGAAAAGCACAGGAGAGAAACTAAATTTTTTAAACAATTGCATTTCAATAAATAGTACTAGAACAAACTTATTGTAATCAGCTATTCATATTGAATAAATTCTAGCCGCCCGAAAAATTCACTTTCAATCGGAACACTTAATGTCATCAAGAAATGTTTTCTGCTTAAAAGTTTGAGTTAAGAATGAGCACAATTGTAAAAGGTCAAAAATTTGAACTGAAAAGTTTTTCGTCATATTCTATTTCTTGTTCAGATTATCAAAAATAGCTGGAGCAAAATTAACTTTAGCTATAGCTGATTTGAGTGATTTGAGTGATCCAAACAGAGCAACTAAACTTGCCGAGAAGTTTTCTGAGCTTTACGATAATTCGTGGAACGATGCATACGAGGTTCTAGAAATATCTGACGAGAAAGAGTGTATCCAGTACCTGCTTAATATAATAGTCGTAAGTTCTTAATAAAAGTTTTCCATATTATTGAAAAACTATAATTTCATATCGAGAGCTATCTATACACATCATATACTGGCACGAGACATTATAACAATAATTAACAAAGTTATATCTACAAACTAGTCACTGTATGTATGCGTAATGCATACTTAAAAAACTAAACAATTTAAAATTTTCATTTAATTTATTTGATTATTGTATATATGATCTCACAAGTTGGTTCTCTCTATGATTCATATTATTCAGAATGTAAATAATGCGGGACATTAACATTATATTTCTAAACTGTTACGTCAGTTCCACGCTATGGGATTAATTTTGTAAATACTGCACGATGTACGATATTGTCAAATGATAAATGTCATAGGGTCGAAATATAAATAGAATTAAATGACTTACAGTAGAGTCGTTTTAACGAATTATAATTCCAGTGGTATATAAGTATTACATGTATATGTCATTTCTGTCAATGCATATGTTACAAATATTTATATAGAAATATAGTTGATACCACTCAAATGTTAATTGATGTGCATTGTCTTAAAACATATTGAATTAAATCATTCAATTACACACAAAATGTTAACTGGTTTTACTTGTTATTAAAAATAAACTTTTAGGAAAATAAATTAATTCCACTAAGTTATAAAATTGCATTAGAATTAAAGAATTTATATTTATATGCGTGATTCTGTGTATACACATTTTAGAAAAAAAAATGAGTAGCAAGAACTTGGATTTACTTCTCAGTTTAGATATTTTTCTTTGATTTTTTTAACTGTAAAAAGTCATATCACATTGGTTTATTTAAAAAAAACTTTATTTGACATTCCTTTGTAAAAGCCATATCCCTAAAGAATAAAATATATACTCTCTTTCATAACATACTCGTTTTTATATGAAAAAAGGTAATCTTTGTTAGTTGTTGCATTATAACAAAAGTATTATGCAATACTCGGAAATGAATTGTGTCCGTGTTTATACATAACTTGTTATTTTTTCTTCTTTTACAGGAATCATATAGCATGTGTGCGGGTATTTCAAATAACCAACAAAGAGCCCTTGCTAGAGCATTACATTATCCAACTGAAGGGTTGAGCATTAAGACAATAACAAATGAGGTACATCATATTATATATCATTTTACAATTGATCGTGTTTAAAGAAGACTCGCAAAATGTTTGACAAAATTATTCTTTAGTAAATTCATATAGTTAACTAGAAATCATTAATCGATTAAATAAATGTGATAAAGTGATTTCATATAATAATGTAAATAACATTTAACATCTCTGTTAGGAAGTATATTGATAAAAGAGATTATCAGTTAATTGTGATTAATGATTTACAGATAAATGCTGAATAAAATTAAGATTGACTATAGCAAATTCAGTAAGAATTATTACCTTCATAAATTTTAAACTGCAATCTTTTAATCATTTATGAAGGTTTCTATTTTAGAATGGATGTTCACGCACTGATGACTGATGATACTGCTTTTAGCTGACAAAAACAAATTTTATGTTTCGTTTCTACATGCTTCTTATCATGTTTCTTCACATGACATTGAATAACTGTACAAATATATGTAGCAACTTGCCTTTTTTGTATTCAATGAACTAAAGATACGACACAGAATTTCAAATATAACAATAGTCTATCAAAGTTGCTCACAGAAAAAAGTTCAATTTCTTTCATTTACTATGTATTGTTGAAGTTTGTTACATTTTTATTAAGCAGGTGAGTCATGACAGCGATCTAAACCTATCTAAACTCCAGTCAAGAACCTTATCAGATTTACGAAAAACATCAGCTGAATTGTCGATTGAGGATATGAAATCGGTAGGCTTTGTTTTTAACGAACAACCACTGAAATAAAACAAATGTGTCGCTTACTGTAAAGTACTTTTTATGTAAACTCTAAACCTTATCCGAATATACAATACTATTAAGTTTTTAAAGGGATACATAAAAGTAGAGCATGAGAAAGCATAAAAAAACATAAGAGAGTAGAATCATGTCAATTAATCAACATCTCGAGTAAATATAACATCTAACAATTCATGCATTTGTGAAGTCGTATTTTATGAGAATACAATATCAATCAAAACTACATTTATTGGTTTTACATCAATTATTATTACATAATATATTCTTATAAATTTTATGTGTACGTACTACTTTATGCAGCAGTGATTGTTCGATTCAATATGCTTTATTACAATCTGATTTATTTACAGTATATTGCTGCAAAGAATGAGAACTGGGTTAGAAAAGGTGAATTAAAACAATTCACTTTGTCATGCATCGAGCTCTGCTGGTTTATGCATCTTCAGTCGCCACCTGTTTATCTGGATGCCACTCTTGTGTCAGGCTCAACGTTTGATACCAACAAATATAAACCGTACACTAAATCCGGAAAGAAAATTGATTTTATAGTTTGGCCATCACTTTATTTGTACAAAGGTGGACCAGTCTTATGCAAAGGGGTTGCACAAGGAAAGTAGACGTAACATTTATGTATTTTAAGTCTTAGAATGGTTATAGAGTGATGTGCATTTTTGTTGTCGTAAATACAGTTCATACGATGGAGCTGTAACAGAATAGTTGTCGACATAAATCTCTTGTACTTTCACATCTCTACAAATTGAAGTGGAATATTTGCTCAAGAAATTTAAGTGTATTTGTTCAGAAATAACAACAAGAGATAATATGTACGTGTGCGTATAAATGTATGTCATCCGTGAGTCGGGAACACACTTGAATATTTAATGAAACAGATGTATGTCTATGGTTCTAAGAATGTATGGTGGACAGCTTTTGATTTTGATATTAATGAAAAGTAAAAAGTAAAGAGTAAATAAATGTTTTTAAATTTAAGTTTGCAAATTATAGAGATTATCATGACATTCTTAACACTTTTTTGCAGTGTTTTTGCAACAGTGTTTTTTTCGTTTTGACCGTTTATCCAATCAATATATGTTACATTGAATAAAAATATTTATTTTGGTGATGTGCATTCATTTATTTGAACAATATGTAAAACTATTAAGTTATTCTGAAATTTAACAATTTAAGCTGCCATATTTCTAATCATTTCATAGTAAATATTATGTATAAAATATTATTATTTATTTATTTATTTATTTATAAGATACATGTATATTTTCTCAAATAGTCAAACAAAAAACCATAATCTGACCAGACTAAATCAAATCTACGAACATAAAGAGAACAAATTTTGCCCCATGAAAACCTTAAACTGTAAAAGTTACTCTTAAGATTTAATTGTAGAATTTCATTTGAAAATGTGTGCAAACTTGTCTACATCCGTAGACAGTAAAATAAGCGACAGAACATTTTAATTTATAATATGTAAAAATAATCCAACAATGAATAGCAAAGATATATTAATTGAGAGCCTTATAATCTATCTAAATTATGACCACATTAAGATTGTAAAGCAAAACATAATTATGTAACAATTTAATTTTTTTCTGTTTCTAAAGGAAAGTCCAGTATACATGTATTTCTAAATACTAGTATATTATCTCATAATGATAGCCACACACTCTTTAAACTCTGACAGACATTTTCTATTTAAATAACTTTTCGACATAGACGAAAGTATATATCTGATGTCGAAGACAACAGTCCGTACCATTACATCGTGATTGTGACGTCATCAGGGATCTTTGACTTCAACGTATTGTGTAAAAAATTGAAAAATGCGAGAGATGTTTCACTTTCCATAAAAAAATTCTCAACATGCGATACAAACAAATATAAAGAATCTATCAGATTAAGTCCAAACCTTGACTATCTGGCATGGCCAGTTATTTCCTTCACTAAGACGGTCTCTTTTTTGTAAGAAGGTTATACAAGTAAATACAAAAATACAAGGCTTAGACACTAGAAATCTTATTCTAAATTATATAACCTTCTATATAAAATAGTCAAAGGATATCCAATTGTGGAAATGTATATAATTCAAAAACGTTTACATCATCTTATTGCATGATGCATGGCTAATTTTACCATATGCGTAAAGCGATGAAATTCATAATTATAGTTTCCACGTCCGTACCTGCTTTCGTGAATTTCATGAAAAAAGCTACACCAACACTTATATTTTTCCTTTTTAACATGGTGACCTTGATAGAGTAACAGAAATATTAGAAGTAAGTCAAGTTTAAAGTTTGATTATGGTAAACAACACACCCCGCGGCTCGATCATAAGATTACTGTGTACTGATGACGACGTAGTAAGTTGTTTGGACTTCATGCATTTTTTAAGTGATATCTTTGACTGATGTATACATGTCTTTGTAAAACAAACTTAACTCTAATGTTAATATGTATTTGATATTTATAGCAACTATATCATGACCTTTGTGCATGCGATGACCTTAAGAAAATTCAATTAAAGAGATGTTATTACGGTGTGTATACCACACTTGCAATAAATTAAATATGTATATAATTATGCAAATTAAACAATTTTCAAACATCGAATAATATGTAAAATGTGTACTGCAGATATTTGTGCACATCATTTTAATCAATAAATTACATGCATTCATTTCTTATTGGAAAATTTGACTAGAATTTATAGAAAATAAATTTCTAATTACCTCCTTTTATTCACATAAAATGATATCTTGGGTGATATCTTTATAAATAATGCTTATTGGAACTTACAATATTGAAAAATCTTAATTTGAGCATCATATTTATGAAATAGAACTTGAAAAAATTGTGTTACAGGATCTTTAAAGAGATGTCACCTGATCACAGTATGATTGACTTTAACCCAAAAATTGTTTCAACAGTTTAATCTATACAGTAGTTCCCTCCCAAATGAAGTCTCAAATCTTTGATCCGAATAAACAGAAAATATTGAATAAAAGTGAATTAAGCTTTCATACGTTGTTCCTGCGTAGTAACTGCAGTCTGATTGGTCGTGGCACGTCAACAATCAAGTGCTGTGTCATTTTATATACAATTTATGACTTATCTACATATTTCTACAGCGTGACTATCGCAACAATGGGTGTTTTTGTATACTTTGACGCATTTATGTTAATTTTCTAATAAAATATGTCGTTGAATGATGCCAAGACCTATTTCTGTCAAAATGTCAACATTTTTAACGATTAAAATCAATATATCTCGAGCCTGCTAGTTGTAATAATTGAAAATGATATGTTTTGGAACAACAATATATCAAACAAATACATATATTTAAATTTAATCTTCCTTTAACTTTGAATCTATTTTTGAATTCATGGGTGAATAATTTGTAGAAAAACAAATCGTCTGCTCTACTTGTAAACAGATCTAATGTTTAGCAGTCGGATTATTTCTGTTGTTGATAAGGTAGAAAAAAGAGAAATGTCGTCTGCTTTTGGAATTACCATCTTCGTTGCCTTGGCGATTAATTTGCCATGCGTCAAAGGAGGATTTTGGAACTGGACAAGGTACACACTTCTTTATAAAATCTGTAAAGGTCTAAATATGAAATGTAATACATGTTAGAGAAAGTTATATTTGTGAAAAGCTGCTTGATAATTTTAAATGTATATTAAAAGCAAATTATGGCTCAGAAAAAAGTCTTTACATCTTTTTTAATTGGCAAACAGAAATTTTATTATATTTAGATAATGATTTAAGTGAAATGTAAGATGCTGGTTTTCAGAAAAAATGTAGCGATGAATGCCAAATAATTTGTCATAAAAGTAGGAAGATGTAAACAAAGCAGTACTTTGACTGCCGTACAAAATACTTATTCACTATAAGTGTACTTATTGCCAAACAAGCAACAAATGAAAACGATGTTTCAGATAATTGGCAAATGAGTAACATTTTGGATACTATGAAAGTACACCAGGATTAAAACCTTTTTGGGAAATAGCAATAAAGGCATATCTGAGGCATAATTTGCATTTAAATGTGCATGTATCCATATTCACGTTTTCTTTTATGTATCTATGCTTTTATTTGTTGATTAGCAGAAAAAGTACAGTAAAGGGGCAATAGACAGACATCTAAAGTTGTTCAATATACAGGGTCATACAATAAAATCAGAAATATTGCAATATATTGGGAGTACAAAAATGAAATCAGATATAATGCAACGTAAAGGCTGTGTAAGGAAATAAAAACGTATTCAATATAATAACTATACTATACTTCCAGGGAGGGAGGGACCATTTTTTTACCATAAGATTTTTGTAGAGGTCTATTATGCTTCATGCTAAATATATAAACTCTAAGTATTGTAGTTTTCCAAAACATTTGTGTTTTCTTATACATCAGTCTACAGAAGCAAGTGACCCCGAGGGCAGGGGCAGTTTTGACCTCAGTGGATTGATTTGATTAAAATCGATTTTTACCCTCGTGATATTATTCCTTGCATCCGAAATCCAAGCAATAAAATCACAGTTTGGGATATATATTATTTCTTAAATATTACATGTAAACTAATGTGATCATAATGACGTATTTGATGTAACCTTAGTTCACGTTACGTTGGTTGATGATATAGTGCTTGGATGGCACTTTTTTGTCTTGAATATTAGTCACATCATGAGGAATGATACTAAAAATATAGATCACTACACCATAGATGGGTTTTTAATGCTTGAAATGCTATTTTTAACCTTGTTCAATACACCAGGGAGGTTCTTCTTTATCTTATAACATCTTTTAAGAAATGCTAATTTGAATCTTGGTCATAAGATTAGGGTTATTTTTCAGTAAAGGTATAAACAAAAAGACATTCTGAAGTTTTTATAGAATCTTTATCTATAAATTCACGTTTTATTACAAAATCGTGACAA